ATAGTGCTGAGTCACCATTTATACAGAAGAGGGGGCTTTGAACATTTTGGGGGAAATTCCATGATCATTTAATCCCATTTTCCCATGAACTTTTGAAGCTCCCTCTTACCTTGGACAGAACTCTGAGGGAAAAAAAAAGAAAGAATCGAATTGCCCAGTTCACCTGTTGTATATCCAAAGCCAGGCGTAGATTAACCTTATTCTAACCAGGCTTTATTACAGAGCAAGCAAAGGCCCGAATGGGATGGTAAGAGGCTAGCACTTCACATCAGTCCAGGGTCACTTGCTACACCCCAGATAGGCTTGATGTGTGCCCTCCAACAAGAAACTCCCGAGTCTTCCTTCTTTGGAGGATTAGAAATTATGTGATTTATCCTGGAAAAGGGGGCTCAATAATTATTTATTGCCCGTGGTCCCCTTGCTGATGAAAATCAAAGACTGCGGCCCTCGCTATGGATTGCAACTCATTGTAAAGAAAACCAAAATTCTCACAACTAGACCAGTAGACAGCATCAAGATTCATAGAGAAAAGATTGAAGTTGTTGAGAATTTTGTTTTACTTGGATCTATAATCGGTGCTCATCAAAGCAGGCCAGATCAAATGACTTACTGCATTGTGCAGACATGCTGCACACGACCTCTTTAACATGTCAAAGAGCAGAGATGTCACTTTGAGGACCCAAGCCCTTGTGTTTTCAGTCACCTCCTGTTCATGTGAATGCTGGGCATTGAACACAAAGAAGAGCAAAGACAATTTGATGCATTTGACTTAAGTTATTGGGAAAAAATATTGAAAATACTGTGGACTCCCAGAAGTGTCCACTCCATGGGAAAAAGAGGAGGCTTTCTACGTCAGAAAAGATTTACAGTCCCAGAAGCCCAGGCCAAGGGCCTGAAGGCGCCAAGGACCGCAGAGAGAGAGGTGTGTTTTTAGGCGCTGCTGAGACAACGCTCTTGACCAAAGGACCGTACCCTGGACATTTCTGACCCTGCCTTGTCACCTGTTAACTTCCCAAATGAACTCCGCAATCATGAGGATGGCCTGTGAGTTCAGTGTGACCCTGGCATTGGATTATTCTGAAACCCAGCAGACAAGGAGAGTATGCTATGGGAAGGGCAGTTGGCATCAGGATTGGTAAAGACAGTTGGACGGTAGAGGCATGTGTTAGACAGGGTTCTCTAGAGAGATAAAACCAAATTGCTCGTAATTTAATATATTTATTTATAAAGATAATTAGATATATAACACAAGAAATGAACTGTTAAATTATATACAGATAAATATATAATACAAGAAATAAACAGATTATAAAGCAGTACAAATGGCTCAGTGCAACTCACTCCCGTGAGAGAGAATTGTGAGACACTAGCAGTCCTTAAAGTCTAGTCTGCTGCCAGATCTTCCTCTATTTATAGAGAGAGCTAGTCTATCTCAGCACAGCAGCCAGTCACAAGGCAGGTCACCAACTGCCAGTCCCCAGCTCCAGCGATGTCTTAAAGGGACCTCAACTTACAGCGACATAGTTCACAGGCTAGGCGTCCCACAGGTAGTGTAGCCTGTAAATTGCACAGAACAAGCAAGGCAGCCGTACACTGGTCTGATGATCAAAGACCGAGAGACAAGAGAGGTGAGACTCACCAAGCCATTTATCTCTCCGCCCTTCAGTTAATCCCACTTGTGTTTATCGGCCAGGCTGGCACAATAAACTGTCTCAAGGCATGTGTGACCCTCTGTCTCACAGCAGTCCACCTTGGGCTGATAAGTCCGATTCTCTTTTCCCTCCTGTAAAGTCAGAGATCAGACACTGTACCCACACCATTCCTAACAAAGACTTTTTGACTTGGCTGCTTATAAAACTTAAATATATATAACTGCTCCAGTTCTTTTACTGATTGGAACGTACAATTTTCTAACAAAATTGGAGCCCCTTGTACTTGGGCCATCATTTCCTTTTGCTAGCCAGTCGTGTGCTATGAATTCATTTCCTTGGTGGGGTAGATTGATCTGCCCTAGCAGTGAACCTCCGTTTCAAAAGGTAAAGGAGTAGTTTCCCAATGTATTGCCACACCATAGTTCAGCCCTGAGCATCAAAAGATTTTCCCAAGTAATAACAATAAATAATGTCATAACGTATCACAAAGCTTCTGTGTGTGTCATAAATAGTAACAGACATAAAGCACCAGACTAATGACTGATGTCCAAGTGTAACTGCTTGATGTGTAATTACGAGAGCTTTAATCATCACATTAAAGTTGGGTTGTGGAAACCGGACAGTAAATGAGGAGGACCAGTGAAGAATTGATGGACTTGAGTTATAGTGTTGACCAAGAATATTAATTATACCCTGGAATGCCAGAAGAACAAAAATCTAGGGGGTGGTGAAGGAGGGGGAAATGAGCTGATACCAAGGTGTATTAGTCTAGGTACTTTGGAGAAACAAATCCACGGCGACTCACGTATAAGAGAGAGTTTTATGTAAAGAAAAGGTGCATCAGGAAAACATCCCAACCCAATGCTGCCCAAGCCCACAAGTCCAACATGAACCCATTAACCCAACACCAGTCCACAAAGTCCTCCACCTCACAAAACAGAGGCAATGATGCCGACTGCAGGAGGAAAGCTGAGTCCATGAACGTGTAAGCATCTCAGCACTGGCAAGAGTCTCCACACGGCTGCTCCAGCACCCAGGGCTGCATCGGGATAGATCCATGCGGCTTCTCCTTGGGGATGTCTTGGAGGAAGTCAATCTTGCAAGCTGAAGCAGGGAACTGCTAAGGCAGCTGCACCCGACGCAACCATCACAAAACAAGAGACCCGAGAACTAGAAAGGCGAGGCTTCACCACCCATTTATCCCTCTGCCTTTCAACCAGCACCACATGTGATTATCGGCCAGGCTGGCACAATTAACTAACTCACAAGGGCTCAAATAGAAAGCAAATGTTTTGAGAATGATGATAGCAACAAACGTACAACTTGACACAATGGAGGATGGATGGATTGTGATAAGAGTTGTATGAGCCCCCAATAAAATGATTTTTTTTAAAAAAGAACAAAAATCTTTCTTGAAGGAAGTTCAGCCAGAAGGCTCCTCAGCAGGGAGGGATGGCGTCCTCTCGTGTATTTTGGCCGTCCTCTCAGGAGGGACCAGCTAGTGAAGTAGGGCCAGCAACAAGAAGAAGCCCCTCAAGGACATTGATTGACACAGCGGCTGCGACAGTGGGCTCACACTCAGAAGTGACTGTGAAGATGGTGCAGGACCAAGCAGGGATTTGTTCTGTTGTGCATAGAAAGGGCTGCCAGAGCCAGAACCGGCAGCACCTGCTGTGGTGACAAATAGAGTAGCCAGTGGTGCCTCCCCGGTTGAGCACGTGGTTCGAACCCACCAGCAAGCAGCTCTGCAGAAGAAAGAGAGCCGTTTGCTTCCCTGGGGATGACAGCCCAATAGGGTTACTGCAAGTTAAAGTCGATTGCACAGCAATGGGTTTGTTTTTGTGTGGAGGTTATTTATTTACCAAAGGAGCCCTGGTGACAAAGTGGATTACATGTTTGGGCTGCTAACAGCAAGGTCAGCAGTTCGAACCTACCAGCTACTCTGGGGAAAAAAGGGACTTTCTGTTCTCATAAAGGTGAGTCTCAGAAACCCGAGGGGGTAGTCCGACTCCGTTCTGTCGGGTTGTTATGACTCATTGCCAGTAGGTTTGCTTTTATTCATTTACAAGAGGAAGAGGAAGCTGAAAAGTGTGGTTTTAAGTAGAGAAAGACTAGCCTTAAAAATGAAATCAGAAACCATAAAAAGAGGTCCCACTTCCCTCGCAGTGCAGTACTCAAGAAAGTACAGTTTGAAACCAGAAAGTACCGCATCTTGCCCATCTCCTTGGTAAAAGTGTTCAAACCTGGTGTTACCCTAGAGCCCCGGGAATCTCATCAGCAGTGGGGTGAAGCTGGTCTCTTTAAAATGAAAAAAAAAAAAAGTATTATTGTCTTAAATATGTAGCCATCAAATAGTACAGAGATTTGTAGCAAAAATAAACATTACCCAAAAATAAATAAATAAATAGATAGATAGATAGATAGATAGATAGATAGATATTGCTTATCTCCTTTCTTCACCCGGCCTCTTCCTCCTCCACACACACACACACACACACACAGCTCATGCTGATGTGCAGGTCCTTTGACTCATAAACGACCATGTCTCCTCAATGAAGGACATTCCCGCAGCCTGGTGGAGGTGGCAAAGAGTTGGAATCCACTTGATTCCAGTGCGTGTTTGGGGGGAAGTTTTCCGCGTGGTGATGGGAAAGGGAAGCTCCTCCCTTGGCCGGGGCAAGGGTCTGTGGAGGTGGCCTGGTGTGCTGTGTCACGTACACACCACCCCTGGTGACCCAGCAGGTCTGGGGTGCCGGTTGGGCTTCTTCCCTTGATAAAAAAGCTCCCATGGCAACCCGGCGGTGCCAGCAGAGTTAGAAGCCATTTATCCAGTGAGTAACAGAGCAGTCATAAATGGCCCCTTGGTGCTTCTGGGAGAATTATTTTTGGTCAATAATTTGTGAGAGAGTAATGAGCCTGTCGGCTTTATGGAAACACGCCTGAACTGGGATGGTCGGCTCTGTTCCAGGATTTTCACAGAATTTTCACTTGAGGTTATTGGCAGCATGGGGGTTGCAATTCTGCGGGGAGCTGCAGCCTGCATGTGAGAGCAGGCTCCTTGGTGCCCGGACAGGCAGGCGCTCACTCTCCCACACCAGCAGCCTAACCCCGGGGTCACTGTGTACAGCTGCCCCTGGCCCGTCAGGTGTTTGTCGACTTGGTTATAGTGTGTTTGCCTGGAGCACAAGTGAAGGACCACGTGACTCATGAAACTTCACACTCATTTCCTTCGTTATGTTTTTAGAACTCCGCGAGAGCCATTGGGGGCATGAGTTGTGTTCCGTTTCTCCAGAAGACCAAACCTGAGCATCTTCCCCTTCTTCACATCGGCTTCCTTTTCTCTCCTAGGAATTCTCATGGGAGCAGTGATCAAGATTATAGAGTTTAAGAAACTGGCAAATTGGAAGGTAGGTTTGCCCAGCTGTTCACGTCCAACATCTTTGCACGTCTTGTTGGTTCTAGATGTCAGTAATGGGAATGGATGGCTCTGCTGACTGTTGGCGAAGTTGTCCATGCCTGCCGTCGGCTCCACTTGCCACTCTCTCCTTCTGTTCTCTTTACACTGTCCACACCGGAGCTTCGGGAAGCGTGACTTACTCTCACATGTGTCCAGTGGGCATGGGGCCCTCGGTAGCACGTTCCATGGTCTTGTCTTTGCCTGTGTGTGTTCTAGACAACACCTGACTTGTGGAATTACAATCTGGAAAGGGAGGGGAAGGGCCAGCTATCTAATATATATGTATGTGTATATGTATATGTGTGTGTGTATATATATATAAAAGTCATTTTATTAGGGGCTCACAACTCTTTTTTTTTATCATTTTATTATGGGCTCATACAGCTCATCACAATCCATACACACATCAATTGTGGCTCATACAACTCTTATTACAATCCATACATACATCAATTGTGTAAAGCGCATTTGTACATTCATTGCCCTCATCATTCTCAAAATATTTCCTCTCCACTTAAGCCCCTAGCATTAGGTCCTCATTTTCCCCTCCCTCCCCGCTCCCCCCTCCCTCATGAGCCCTTGATAATTTATAAATTGTTATTTTGTCATATCTTGCCCTGTCCGACGTCTCCCTTCACCCACTTTTCTGTTGTCCGACCCCCAGGGAGGAGGTCACATATAGTTCCTTGTAATCGGTTCCCTCTTTCCTACCCCTCTCCCTCTACCCTTCCAGTATCGCCACTCATACCACTGGTCCTGTAGGGCTCATCCGCCCTGGATTCCCTGTATTTTCAGTTCCTATCTGTACCAGTGTACATCCTCTGTTCTAGCTAGACTTGCAAGGTAGAATTTGTGTCATGATAGTGGGAGCGAGGAGGAAACATTTAGGAACTAGAGGAAAGTTGTATTTTTCATCGTTGCTACATCGCACCTTGACTGGCTCGTCTCCTCCCCGAGACCCCGCCATCTAATATTTAAACAGAGCTTGTCGAATGCTGAGAATCCAGTCACCATGTATGTTTGAGATGCTATTTCTACAAATGAAAGCTTCGAGTCCCACCCCCACCAGCGGCCCCCAAACAAGTGGAAATCCAGCGAGCCAACTTTTATAAGAGCTTCAAATATTCTCAGAGAGAGAGAAGGGGGTGATTTTTGGATGTTTACAATCCTAGTCAAATCCACTTCTTGAAGGAGGGGCAGGGAGACTGGTGCGCACTCAGCCTTCCCCGGGGTTTGCTGCTTGGACAGCTGGGGTCAGCGAGTGCCCGCGCCTGCAGGCAGGGCGTCTTCATGGCGGCTGGGTCGTCTTGGCCTGTTTTTACCGAGGACGACACCATGGCTCACAGAGACGCACTGTGTCCATCCACCCAACCGAGTCCTTAAACCATGATGTCCTTGCTTTGCAGCTGCACACACTGGCCCGTGAGCATCAGCATGTGGTCTGAGGTCTTAGTTGAGTCTCCACATTTTGTAGAGATTAGCATGGCTATTAGAAGTTGACTTTACTCATAACATGATCTCTATGTAGAGTGCACATTAAGTGAATAGATACACAGGTTTGTAACCTCCATTATAGCAAGTATAGACATGCTAGCAAATGCACACTGAGATTGCTAATGTTACCCCATTTTAGAAATGAAGCAATGTAGTAGATTTACTCACCTCCATCCCAAGGTCGTCGCTAGTATTTGACAAAGCTACTATGCTTTAGGAGCCTTGGTGCTGTAGGGTTACATGGTGGCCTGCTAACTGCAAGGTCAACAGTTTGAAACTACCAGCCGCTCCTTGGGAGAAAGACAGGCTTTCTAGGCCTGTAAAGAGTCTCAGAAATTCATGGAGTAATTTTCAGCATAGATTTGATGGCAGTGAATTTTGTTTTTGGTTTTTTTTGTGGGGCAGGGGGCAGTTATGTGTTGGGCTGCTAATCACAAAGTCAGCAAATCAAAACCACCCCTCACTCAGCCTGAAGAAGGTAAGAGCCTTGACTC